GGCTTCCAGAACGACGCGAACGGATAGTGGGCGGTCCTGTGAGGGAAGATGCATGTGAGGGGGGTTAGTGGGCGGTCCTGTGAGGGAAGATGCATGGGAGGGAGGGTTAGTGGGCGGTCCTGTGAGGGAAGATGCATGTGAGGGGGGTTAGTGGGCGGTCCTGGGAGGGAAGGTGCATGGAAGGGAGGGTTAGTGGGCGGTCCTGTGAGGGAAGACGCATGTGAGGGGGGGTTAGTGGGCGGTCCTGTGAGGGAAGATGCATGGGAGGGGGGGTTAGTGGGCGGTCCTGTGAGGGAAGATGCATGGGAGGGAGGGTTAGTGGGCGGTCCTGTGAGGGAAGATGCATGGGAGGGGGGGTTAGTGGGCGGTCCTGTGAGGGAAGACGCATGTGAGGGGGCAGGGCCGTCACCAGGGATTAACTAACATTGAAGACCAGTCACAGGCATGAAGCACCGTAAAAGGGGGAGCCCTCTCTCCATCTATCTCTCTCTCTCTCACTCCCTCTCACCCCCTTTCTCTCTCTCACTCCCTATCTCCCCCCTCCCTCTCTCTCTCTCTCCCTCCCCCCTCTCTCTCGATCCCTCCCTCTCCTGCAGTCATCACTCACTGTGAGGACAGCACCGGTGTGTTGGTGTTGGGAGAGAAGTAGAAGAGTGGCACTCCATTCTTCACACAGTCCGGCAGGGTGTAGTGCGCCAGGTTGGAGCCAAACAGCTGCAGATGCTGCAGCAGCTGGTCAGTCTGCGTCAGCCTGCAACGTGCACAAGGTCGAACCCACGTTAGCTGACGCCTCTATAGAACACACACATGCACGCATGCACACATGCACGCATGCACACATGCACGCACGCACGCACGCACACATGTACGCACACACACACACAGACACACACACGTATACAGTTATAACCTGTATAATATAGAATGGAAGCCTATATACACTCAAACCTGTGTTAGCAGGTACCTCTGTAGAATAAACATCTATATACAAATAAACCTGAGATTGCAGATACCTCTATAGAAGAGATATCTATATGTAGTCAAACCTGTGTTAGCAGGTACCTCTATAAAAGGCACACACACACTTGTCTATAGAACTTATTATAGAATCTACTGTGAAAACATGTACCTCTCTAGAATGCACACCTATCTATAAAGAACACTTTTGGTATATTCTGTGGAGGGGTCAGGATAATTATTGTTAAACCTTAAAAAATACATTAAAAAATTATGAAACTTTAAAATCTATAAATTACATCTTTAACATTATAGTATCCATTGCACAGCACATTCCGCTCACCCTTGCATTGTTTGCCAGAACTTTCGTATCACTGCCATCCTGTAACCACTCTGTAAGGGTTTCTTCTGCGTGGGGGACATCACATCATCGAGAAAGTCATACGTGGCTTCTATCGACACCTCAGTGTGAGTCACTCTCCTACGGTAAATTATTTTTGAAAAATAAATAATAATGTATAGTAATCATATGGTATATAGGATGCATCATATAGTATAGTACTAGTATAATATAACATATAATTGTTTTTGATAAATGAGTAATAACTTTTTATGTCAATCATCATAATAATTATCTTTGACTTTAGGATCCTTTTATTTATATTTTGTCTTTATTTTTATAATAAATTATAACAGCCATGCTGGCACATGTGCACGAATTAACGAAAGTTCATGATTAACTCACACATTCCCATTGTGATTTGTTTTCGAAGTAAATTTATCTTACTGTGAACAACTGACACTGGCAGTCTATTTGATTTATGTTGCAATTAGTTACTGTTTGGCTAATGAAATTTTCTGGTGGCGAATAACTACGGCTCACTTGGAACTATCCAGGGGCCAAACGGCTTCTATCCGATACTCAATGTTGACGCGATGTTTCCATGGCAACACAAGCTGTACCTCTAGCTGCGTGTCTCCTGAATGAAATCAGAAGGATGCATTTCTTGATAGTTAGCAACTGTTATCTATCAACTGTTTTCGGAACTAATCCTAGAGAAACATGTATTGCTGTGCATACTTATGACATACCATGCCTAAAGACACACATACCACAGACGTGAAAAATATTGGGTAAAACTATCAAATAATTTATTGTTAGTAAGCCATAGTGCTATCACAGTCTGAATTACATCATATAATACATTTCCATGAAAAAAACGCCACATTCTAGAATAACAAACGCCTCATGCAGGGCGGATACGAAAGTTGCCCAGTTAGTTGGGGAGTGATGGGTCATTCTAGACAGTGTATAAGCACACATATATCAGTTACGTTTGTTCAGAGTAGATATCACACGCATCGTATTCACCAGTGACGACGTTAAAGTCAACGAGAAATCGAAATAGCTTCAGATCTTATTGCGGGGTTGTCATAAGGACAAGTACAATAGGACAAAGCTGTTGGGGGTGGGAGGCAGTGGAACTGTTATCGGTTTTCTCAAGTTTCTGCCTGAGCAAAAATAACCATATTCTAGAATAACAAACAATGTTTCTGCCCGAGCAGGCAGTTGCCCTGCCACATTTTTCCCCGGGCAGCGAGTAGTTTCCCGGGTGTTCACGCGTACCTTTAGTGATGGCGACCTTCTTGATGGTGTATCCCTCGCGCAGCCTCACAGAGAGCACTCCGAACACGGACATCGTCGCCTTGTTCTCCGCGTGCTTCTTCCTCAGCAAGGCTTCCTCTGGCGCGGAGGGCCCAAAGTTCAGATTACTGCGAAGATGTCAACATGTTCGTTAGCAGAAGGACTCTACATTCCTGGTTAAGATCGAGTTGAAAGTTTGGAGTGCCGATTTTGCACGTGCGTATTTGCATTCTGAATGATCTTCAAGAGCTAGGTTGTTTGCGATCGTGTGAAAGGTGAATCAAGAATCACAAAACATGATCGATTTGAATAAAATAATTACAGCGTAATTTAATGCAGTTGGTACAAAATAATTCATTCAAAATAGTAACGTAACATAATAACTCTTAAAAAATCTATTATTTAATATAAATACAAAAACTAATACGTATATAAACTACAACTAATGTGTTGTAATACAACAACTGTATTCATAATGTATGTATATTAAAAATGTATGGAATATTATATTGATAACAAGAGCCATCGGAGATAGCAAACCTCTGCCACAGCGTAACAGTCCCCCCATCTTGCTGGTACACTCAATATAGCGTTTGATAAAATTTGAAGAAAAAAACCAGGATTTTTTTTTAATGAATTTTAAATGCGTCCGAGGTCTTCCCCACACAAAGAAATGATTTTTAAAAAAACAACAAAAATCCTGGATCCAGATCTGGATCCGGATCACCACCAAAATCTAATCGATTGGTTGTTGGCCCAAGACCAACCTGTCCAGAAAATTTCATCAAAATCCGTCAGTAAATTTTTGAGATATCCTGTTGACAGAAGAACAAACAAACCAACAAACAAACTAACAGGGGCGAAAACATAACCTCCTTGGCGAAGGTCATTAATCCAATTCGAAATGTAAACAACGGGCGTGCATTCACTTACTCGATGTGCCAATACTGCTCCACTTGTTCTGCAGGCATGCCATCCTGGTAACCCTTATATCCATGCAGAGGTTTCTGAAAGCTCCACGACAGTATGGCCTTGTGGTATACGTTCATGTTCAAACTGGAGTCATTCTCCTGCGTGGTTTACAACAAGCACGTTCATAGTTACTTATACAAGCAGAGCAACTTATGTACAACATTGAAAATAAAAGCCACAAATCCTAAATCTGATTTTCAAATTTCTTATTGCGTTCAGAACTCAGAAGACGTGAAAATTAAGCATCCTTGATAAATGACCCACGCTCTAGCATTCCTCAACAACTGCAACAATTACTCACCTGTAAACGTATTGCGTACTAGCTTTCTCAAGCGCAGCAATTTCAGTTTTGCATATCTACGATTGCAATATCTCTGACTCAATCAATTTCAATCAATTTCAATATATTATTTAATCTATGATTGCAGTTTTGTGATTTGCGTATCTACGACTGCTAGAATTTGAAGACTAAACACCGATCGGACGTACGAGGTTCGGACAGTAGGACATGAAAGCTCCGAAGGTTGCCGTGGCGATGAACTGCAGCAGCTCCATGTATGGCACGTATCCGAGCGAACACGCCGGATGGTAGGGACTAGAGATGTTGAGGAAGGAGCAGGCGATCGTGCTGTTACGCAGCTGCACGAGCAGAGACTCAAACATGGCCGTGTCCGGCGGGCCTGTGATGCCGTCCGTCACCACGACGATGCCTGCAATCATAGAGAGAACGGTGACTCAAACATGGCCACATTTTTATATATCATCTATTAATTATCTATGTACTGTTTTTATCATTTTATCATATTTATCATATGGTATTTATTTATTATTTCACACGGAAATATTTTATCACATTTTCTCATAATCTTCCGTCTGTGATATTTTTCCCATTGCATTTCGTACGAGTGCGTTCCGGGAACAGGAAACAGAAAACGCATCGCTCGATGGCCGGGGCATCGCTCGATCGGTCGGGGCGTACCAGCACTTGTGTTCTCCGGGAGTAGCTGCAGAGCCAGGATGCCGTATCGCAGCATGTTGATGATCCCTGCGTCCGGCGTCACCATGGGAACGGGCGGCGTGTTAGGCGCGGCCGCCGGCTTGCCGATGTTGTCGAACAGTCCGAAGGTGTTCGTGTCGACGTCGTCATCGCACGTCTGCAACGCCGCAACGAATGAACATGAAATCGCGTGACGTCGGTTCTCACACTGGATCTGCTAGATCCGATTCGCGGATAAACGGAGAAAAGTGAATCGAGTCTAGCATGACTGACGGGCTGTTGTAGCTAATGAATGTTGCGATAGGACTAGGATAGATTCTCAAAACAATGCTTAGCAAAGAGATGCTGCCAAAGTCGACATTTTCTGCAAAGAACATGCGCATGCAAACTGGGTGAGCTCGACCGACCTAACAACAATATCTACATGTTTTCTAACTCAGTTGGACGGGTCAATTAGACTTACTCTGTGTGGGGAGATGAAATGCTTTATGCTGTCGTGTAAAATTTCACATATCGGAATCAGCGACGGAGGATTTTTCGTAAACAAACATCTCGTTTCGTAACTCTACCCGCTCTTTTAATCCCATGTATGCATCGTCATTCTATTATCCATATTTCTTTTACAAATCGTGACTTCACAGTACATATCAAGCCCAGCACATGGCACGGTCTAGTAGAAACGCCCCGAGCTAAGCACGCACCGTTTTACGTCCAACCGTTGCTGCCGTCATCTGCGCTAACGAGTTCTCAAACATCACGACCTTGTCGTAAATGCTGTCGAGCAGTACATACACGGTCTCTTGCATCAGCAGAAATCCTTGAATCAGCACCTAAAGATAAAATCGAGCATTAAATTCAGCGTGTCCCGCACCCCGCACAATGCCATAAACTCACTAATCATCGATCTAATTCGATCCAATATAGAGCAATCAGATCACACCCTTCTACATCAGGCAGCACTTTTAGACTTGTCCCTAATTTATTTCCTACGTGATAAATCAACAGGTGCCCCCACCTAACAGGTACGTGGCACAACATGCCAGGGTTTAAGGGTCATCTGGGTGCACCCATCCTTTAATATACAACAAGTATTTTAAACATTAGCAAGAATTCTTCACGTTAGGGGGAATAAAGGAGGAATGAGAAGGAAAACTCTCTCTCCCGCTATAGCCCACGACGCTCCGGTCGCAACGAAACATGAACGTCGACGTTTCAAACTTTCCAGCGAACAAATCGCGCGCGCCGACAGACTGGGATGCTCACCTGTTCTGCGATCGACTCGAGGAAAGGCGTGTGTGCAATGACGGTGACGTAGATCCGTGGAGCGAAGCACATTCATACTAGATAACGGGGGATACATGTAGTTGGCGACAACTGCTCGTTTCTAGTTATTAGTATTATTATTATTATTATTATTATTATCATCATTATTGTTATTGTTGTTATTATTATTCAGTGTTATTATTATTAAATCTTTATTTCACATAATCCAATTACATATACTGAAAACATAATCTTCATCAATGTCTTTTTCATAGAGATAAAAATCTGATGAATGCGATAGTGTAAGGCACGTTAAATTACCATAACCGTACGTCCCCCCGCGCGTTGCGGTAGACCTGATGCTGTGTTTCTCATTGTAGTTCCACGTGCCGGGCAGTCACGTCCAATATCTCTGTAAGGGTAATATGGTATATATATACAAACATATGCCTCCATTACACTGACAAGCAGGAAATATTGTTGGAACTACTTATCCATATTGCAATGCTTTTGCATCTAAATATGCATTTGCATGAAAGATGCCATAATTTCATTTAATAATTTCATTTTCCTTTAGCTTTTGCACTATATAATAGCTGAATCACTATAGCAGAGTGGCGCACGGCTAACGACTGCAGATGTTATATAGATCGATACTCACAGGTTTAGTTAGGCCGATGTATATGCTTAAAATGAGTAACATAGCTAGTATACACATATGCTTAAAATGAGTATAAGTATGGAAATTGTAAAATTATTAATTATTATTAAATTGTGAAACAAATATGAATTGTTGCAAAATTTAAAAAATTTAAATTATTTAAAAAAAAAATTCTTAAAGCAAAAATTTAAATGCTGAAATAATAATTTCCTGGGGGATCTCAGGTCGTGTTCGTGTGGAGATAAGCTTTCTAGCGCAGGATTAGCTTTCGCCGTGTTACAGATTGTTTAATATTTATTTAACATCATCGGTTATTTCTAATACCTTCAGGACCTCCAGTCGGGCAATGTCCTCATCGACGAAATATTCAGCACCCTACGGAACTGTGTTGTATACTAGCTATGTTACTCATTTTAAGCATATGTGTATACTAGCTATGTTACTCATTTTAAGCATATGTGTATACTAGCTATGTTACACATTTTAAGTATATGTGTATACTAGCTATGTTACACATTTTAAGTATATGTGTATACTAGCTATGTTACACATTTTAAGCATATGTGTATACTAGCTATGTTACACATTCCCAAACAGATACTCCAAGTCCAACGAAATGCTCTTTGCAATAAAACAAAATTCGCGATAATGATCCGAGAAAGATCGTTGACTCGACGCGATGCGGAAGTTCGACTCACGACTATCCCGGTCGATGGACTGAGGTCGAGGACGAAGACAATGCGGTAGCAGTGTGCGAAGAACGTGATGTCGGTGGAGGGAGTGACGCGGTACTGCTGCTGCGCGTGGCCGCCGCCTCGCTCGCTCACCCTCGGTATCACAGATAGCACATCCAGCTCACCCTTGTACTCCGCCTTAATGCCGAAACGTAACAACACGTTATTATAAAGCCGTTCATACATTCTATATTGAATAGATTGTTTCGCACCTATTTTGTGTTTTTATATTGATTCTAGTAATTTTTCTGACTCCACACACCTATGCAAGCACATACGTTATGTATGCACTTGTGCAAAAATATTTGGTAAGCTAAAGAAATATTATATAAATTTACTGACAATCTAACTCAGTAAGTTAACATTTTTGGAACATTTTGGTTTGGTTTTTACAGGCATATTATTCATACATGGGTGACAAAAACATTACGTCTTTACATGCGTTTTCAATAAGTACTATCTTATTATTATAACGTCTGATTTGTGCGAGTGGACCAGAAAAGGAACTTACGAGGCTTTGTCGCTCTTGAAGTTCAATATTTTCGTTGAGATGGTGGAAGTACCACGATGCGCGGATGTTGCGAGATATTCTGTACTCTTTCTTCATGAGCAGGTACACCTGGTCTGCCTGTACCACCTACAATATAATCATTATTAAATATGGGAAGAGTAATAACAGCTTCTGAGTTGCTGAGGAATCGTGCACAATACTCGAAAAAATGTCACACGAATTTGCCGCTGTAATATACAAGCGACTTTAAACACTGCTATGGTCCGGATTGGTGCCTAATCTAACGTTATCATGTGAGTGCGCAGTAACTCACTGGAAACCAATGTTTTGTAAATTTTTGAAACATTACTGGTTGGATCATGGTTGTTGCTGCTAGCGTGGTCTCGGCAAAATAATTTGTGACCGGTTCTTACCATTGTACCAATTGATTATTATGCACCAGTCAATTGAAACCCCGGCCCCCCTGACCCCCGGGAAAAGCGGGGAATTTAACACTTCCTTAGGGTTAAAATCAGCAATTTCCCCGCCCATAAGGGGCAGGTAGTCTGTTAAAAGCCCCTATAACTGGGGATCATTTCTCAGATTCCAATTATTTATTTATGTGAATTTCTGTCACGTGACACCTTTTTGCAAATAAACGTATCAATTGATAAACTACTGCAGACTTTGTAACGCCGGGTCCCACAATTATAATTTATATAAAGTTATGGGAAAAAGTAAAAAGGGAATAATTAGTTTTCCATCTAAAATGGAATTACTTAAAATGGAGTACACAATCACAATTTATTATAACGAGATTTAAATTGCCCAGCTATTTTAATATTTACAATGTAAAAGCTAACACTTATATAATCACAACTACTTACGATATTTCTCACAACGGGTGCCCGATGAAACTCGTACCGATACGTGCCTGCAGGTGGCGCCAGCTGAGCTGGAAGCGAAGCTGCTACATCATCCTAGCGTGTCAGACGTCGCCGTCATCGGCGTCCCGGACGAGGAAGCTGGAGAACTCCCCAAAGCGTACGTCGTGCGCACCGACCAGCGCCTCCTGGCGGACGATCTGCACAGCTACCTGGGAGAGCACGTGGCGCCACACAAGCGGCTGCGGGGAGGCATCGAGTTTGTCAGCGAGATTCCCAAGTCAGCGGCTGGAAAGATACTGAGGCGACAGCTGCGCGAGAAAAACAAGAAGCTGTCTCGTCTGTGAGGCGGCCATTTTGTTTTGTATGCATCCAGAAGCAAATCCTATTTCCACGAAAGGTTATGAGCGAGAATATTAGTTCGAAAGGCTTTTTTTATAGTAGGTCGAGTAAATCTGTGAAGCTTGTATCGTAAACCGAGGAGATATACACAGGGTATCGCCCAATAGAGGGCGCATAAAGCGATGTTATGCTGGAGAAGCGGTCGGCATATGTTTCCATGAATCAGAGTATTCGCGTGACGTTAGTGTACGTCACCCACGAACTCGGCTATCACCGAAGTTGTTTGCATACAGCCTGCTGATGGTGCTGGTGGTTGCGCATGGTCATATTCCATACTACGCATGTCAACTTCCGCATCAGACTTTTCGTATATCAAGGAATGATGCAAACCCCTAAATCTAACCCTAACACTAACCCCAAACCCAACCCCAGCCCCAACCCGAACCCGAACCCTAACACTAACTATAAACCGACTCGGCTATCTTATATACGCGTGTCATAGTACCAAACACTCTCTATGGTGTATAGATAGCCACTGACGTCACACTGACGTACAGTGACGTCACGCGGATACTCTGTTTCATGGAAACATATGCCCACCTGGAGAAGCAAAACCGGATGTTGGGTTGCGTCGCTCTCTCTCTACATCCGTCATAGCTAGAAGCCGGAATGTTCATAGACAAAATATAATGGTAATATAAATAATATATCAGAAGACCGTGGATTGATATATAGATAAGATTGTTAATAAAATATGAATAAAAGAATATCAATAATAAATGAATTCATAGAAGTAAGAAGAGATAGATATTCGGGTGTCTGTATTTCTAACTACCGTTCCTTGACCAAATTATTCTGTTGTATAAGAAATTATTTCACGAGTGAAATATTATAGATTATGTTATATGTCACGCCTCGTTATATACGAATACTGAAGTTTGCATTTAATGAAAAGAGTTAAGATGTGATTTAAGGTTTAATCGTCTTACA